CGGGGGGGGGGGGGGGCCCCCGGGGCCCCGTAGGCCGGGTACCCTCCGGGGGCCCCGTAGGCGGCCGCGGGGGGCGGGGGGCCCACAGGGTACAGCTGGGGGCCCCCCTGGGGGCCCCCCGGAGGCCCCCCAGGGGCCCGCTGGCCGTCCGCTGCAGGGTACTGCTGCTGGCTGGGGCCCTGGTACTGAGCCATGCTGGCTGCTGCTGCTGCACTGGGGTGTATAGACAGCTGGGCGAGGCCGTTGGCGTTGAACGCAAACCCTAAACCTTAGACCCTAAACCCTCCGCTCTCCGTGGACAAACGCGAAAAAAGAGGGGAAGCAAGTGCCAGGGTCTCTGGCGAGGAGCGAGCGCTTTCCACTAAACCACGCCGCAACCCTAGCCCTAAACCCTAAACCCTAAACCCTAAACCCTCCGCCGAGAGCTTAAGTCCTCGAAGATACGCTGGAGCTCTACTGTCAATAAAAATGAAATACTGATGCGGCTTAACTGAACAACTAAAGCGCAGTTGTAGCAGCAGCAGCAGCAGCAGCAGCAGCGGCAGCTTGCTGCTGCTAACAGTGGCAGCTCCAGCCAGCACGAGGGTTCAGGGTTTGGGGCTGAGGATTAGGGTTTACGCTCTAAGCTGCTGCTTTTGTGTCTATCTTTTTCTTCGCCTTCACTTCCTCCACAGCACGCAGAATCCGTGTTTTTGCCGCAGCTGCTGCTGCTGCTGCTGCTGCTGCTGCTGCAGCTGCCCGTCTGTCCTGATCTGTCGGCGGGCCCCCTGTCTTTTCCCAGGGGTTCTTTTCATCTTGTCTCTGTTCTGAGACAGCAGCAATAGACGTGGCGAGCACGGGCAGGTTACAGTTACTATTTTGCTGCTGCTGGGGAGGATGCAGCAGCAGCAACAGCAGGAGCAGCAACGGCAGCAGCAGCAACAGCAGCAACGGCATCTCCAACCTCCAGCACAAACCACAGCAGCAGATGGCGCTGCTGCTGCTGCTTCTGCAGCCATAAACAGCAGCAGCTCTGCCGCCGGCCAGCAGCTGACCAGAAGACACCAAGCTAGGCTTGCTCAGAACAGCAGCAACTGCAGCAGCAGCAACTGCAGCAGCAGCAATTGCACTGCAGCACAGTTACACCTAGATCTTTGTGAGAGTTCTTTTGACTCATATCGACAACGCAGCGGCAGCAGCGACAGCAGCAACTGCTGCTGGCAGCAGCAGCAACAGCAGCAACAGCAGCAGCAGCGAAAACGGCGAGCGACGGGCGCTGCTGCTCTGCTGCAGCGTGCTTGTCTTGTCCTGCTGCTGTTCATATATATCTGCTGCTCGCTTGCTGCCTGTGGCTTCCGTTTGCTGCTGAGGGGCTTTAGGGCTGTAGTTCGGACACGCCAGCAGCAGCAGCAGCAGCAGCAGCAGTTAGCTGCTGCAGCAACAGAAGGCACCCTAGCTCGGGGAGCTGCAGAAGCAGCAAAAGCAGCTGGCGCTGCAGCAGTTGCTGCTGCAGCGCCACCCCACTTGTTGGTTGTTTTTAGTAGCGACGAGCTGCTGCTGCTCAAAGCGGCCGAGAGGCTGCGTGCTGCTTCGGCTGCAGCAGCAGCAGAAAGCCCTAAAACAGCAGCAGCAGCTGCAGCAGCAGATAGCAGCATTTGCGTTAGGGAGCTGCTGCTGCCTGCTGTTGTTGCTGCCTTTGCTGCGGGGCTGAGGCACCTTTCCTTCAGTGACGCCCCGGGCATATCTGCACTGCAGCAGCACAAGCAGCAGCTGCTGCTGCTACTGCAGCAGCTGGGCTTCGAGACTTGGGAGCAGATTTCAAACCAGCAGCAGCAGCAGCAGAAGCAGAAGCAGTCGCTGCAGGAGCGGTGCTGCTCCCCCCTGCAGCAGTTTCCGCTGCCGCTGCATTCCCCTACGGCAATTTGTGTTCGACGCCGGCAGCAGCAGCAGGAGCAACAGCAGCAGCAGCAGCAACAACAGCAGCAAGACGATAATGATGTGCTTCAAGTTCGGTTTTTATGTGGCTGCAACGGGCTGCCAGAGCTGCTTAGCCTGTACGCAGCAAATCGTTTGCTGCCAACCAGCAGCAGCAGCAGCAACAGCAGAAGCAGCAGCACCAGCTACTGCTGCAGCAGCATCAGCGGCTCGAGGTGCAGCAGCAGGAGCACAAAGTGCTGCTGCTGCGGCAGCGATAGGCTGATCAGCAGCTGCCTGTGCTGCTGCAGTGGCAGCAGCAGCAGCAGGAGCAGCAGCAGAGACTGCAGCCCGGCGCGAAGCAGAAGCGTGAGCCAAGATGCTGCAGCAACAACCAGCAGCAGCAGAAGCAGCGAAAGCAACAGCAGCAGCAACAGAGACACTCCTCGCGAGTGGCAGCAAACTAGCACTTGCAGCAGCACAGCATGCACGACGGCGCTGCAGGAGCTTCCTGCCGCTGCTGCTGGTGCGGAGGAGCAGCAGGACTGCAGCAGCAAGGCCCGCAGCAGCAGCAGCAGCAGCAGCAAGTACAAGCTCCCCAGCGAGGACGTGATTAGCGCTGCTGCACTGTACAGACAGCTGTCCGCAGGGGGCAGTTTTCCCCCTCCCCGTTGTTTGCTGCGGGCGGAAGTGCCGCTGCTGCTGCTGCTGCGGAGTGCAGCAGCAGCAGCTGCAGCAGTCCTCGCTGCTGCTGCAGCCCAGGCGGCTCGGCGCGTAACAAGAGCCATCAAGCCCACATCTGTCCCAAACCAGCAGCAGCAGCAGCAGCACCAGCAGCAGCAGCGC